GCGCATTGACGACGAACCCTGTATATTTGTAAATCTAGACGGTCCTGATGACATCTCTCTTCCTTTGTTTATTGCTAGTTGCTTGAGCGGAATGGACATTATATATATATATATATATATATATATATATATATATATATATATATATATATATATATATATTAAATTTACTGAATTAAATTATTATTTGCCTTTGAAGAAGTTTCAACAAGGAACTAAAAACGTCAAAGCTTTTTCTCTTGTAATTTCAGATAGATAGAAAGATAGATAGATAGATATGAATAATAGATAGATAGATAGATAGATAGATAGATAGATATGAACAATAGGTAAATAGACATGAACAATAGATAGATAGATAGATAGATAGATAGATAGATATGAACAATAGGTAAATAGACATGAACAATAGATAGATAGATAGATAGATAGATAGATATGAACAATAGGTAAATAGACATGAACAATAGATAGATAGATAGATAGATATGAACAATAGGTAAATAGACATGAACAATAGATAGATAGATAGATAGATATGAACAATAGGTAAATAGACATGAACAATAGATAGATAGATAGATAGATAGATATGAACAATAGGTAAATAGACATGAACAATAGATAGATAGATAGATAGATAGATAGATAGATAGATAGATAGATAGATGCCAACAATGGATACGTAGATATTAATTGAGCTACTTTGTTCTGAACCTTACGTTGTCGTTAGTTCCATACGGCTTTTGTATGCATCTCTCTCTCTCTCTCTCTCTCTCTCTCTCTCTCTCTCTCTCTCTCTCTCTCTCTCTCTCTCGTTGTGTTAAGGAGGGAGGCGGGGGTATATATTTATCTGTATGTATCTTTTTTTAGTTATTTATGTACCAACTTATCAATGTAGGTAATGCTATCCTGGATCTGTCTGTCACTCACTCGATCATCGTGTTTTGTTGTCCATTCATCTGTCTCCTAGTTTGTCTGTCAACATGTTTATCTTCCTAGAGGTCACTGTGAGAAAAGAGTTTATTGACGCCTGAGATTTCGATTGCGCAACAGAAATAGTGTCAACTATTAAAGCCTTATGACGTTTTATTGTGAAAAATCTCAATGAAAAATTAAAAAAGAAAAAAGTATACCTTTATGAACTATTTACAAAGACTGATATATGCAGACAGCCCATCGGTAGTCTAAATTTTTGTCTATAAGTATTCCCGTTGGACCTGAAATAACATTGGTTTGAAATTAGACGACATATTCTTATAATTTTTCAATTTTTCACCAGCAACGGGCAAAATTACAAGAATATGTTATCTCCTTAGAAACCGGTGTTATTTCACATTCAACAGGAATTTTTATAAACATATATATATATACACAACTAAGTATATCTATATATACAACTAAGTATATATATATATATATATACACAACTAAGTATATATATATATATATATATATATATATATAGTATATATATATATACAACTAAGTATATATATATATATATATACAACTAAGTATATATATATATATATATATACAACTAATTATATATATACAACTAATTATATATATGTAACTAGGTATATATATATAACAACTAAGTTTAGATAAATAAGTATATATATATATACATATAACTAAGTATATACATATATATATATATAAATATATATACACAACTAAGTATATATATACAACTAAGTATATATATATATATATATATATACAACTAAGTATATATCTAACTATCTATCTATCATCTATATATATATATATATATATATATATATATATATATTTTTTTTTTTAAAATTTATAACATAAATATGTTATAAAAATCACTACAAAAATAGCCATTTTGTTTCAACACTCTCAGTGTCTTATCAAGTGATGATGTTGAATGTAAAAAAAAAAAAAAAATTGGTTATTGAATTCATTCCGTATACACCAATTATATACTTGTGTATATATATATATATATATATATATATATATATATATATATATATATATATATATATATATATATATATATTCATTCCATATACACCAATTATATATTTGTATATATATATATATATATATATATATATATATATATACATATTACTCAACAAAATTACCTCTTGTGGGGATAGATCCTTTCAGCCAACGTCAGTCTTATTCAATCCCTGTAGACGGACATCCACAAGGGTTGAATAAAACCGACGTACTTCGCGTTGGCTGAAATAGACCCCCCAAAAAAAAAAAAAACATATGAAGTAATTTTTGATTTTTTGTGTAATTTATATGCCCTGGTATAATAAATACAGCTATTTTTGTGGATCAGTTTTAATATTTTATATTACTAGGATCCATCTGGATTATATACCAACGGATTTATTACTTGTACTATATATAAATAAATAAATAGATGTGTTTGTGTGTTGATGTAATGAGAAAGAATAGTTAGAGATTAATAATCTAAAGTTCTTTGTTATTTATGTTTTTATTTTTAAAAAATCAGTGCTCGATACAGAAGTTGAGCTTAAAATTAAATGAATAAAATATTTCTTAGGTTAGTTATTCTAAACATCGTTTGAGAATGAAACTGTGCTCTAAAATTTAAGTAATTCCGTATTAATTCAATTATGCTAAAACGAGTTTAGTCTTTTGCAAAGACACGCGTGTCGGCCACACAGTGAAGATTGAAAACACTACACATTATAAGTGGACTGCTAGATTAACTTCGTATCTAGTATTACCCCATAATAATCCACTGTATATCCTTACCTTAGGTCTTGACAACAGTATGTCGGTGATGGTATACAAGTGTGTGTGTGTTTACAAGTGTGTGTGTGTTTACAAGTGTGTGTGTGTTTATACGTCTGTGTTTGTTTACACGTGTGTGTTTCTTCATGCATCGAAGACCTTTTAGAATAATAACAAGTCAACCTGATTCAGATGAAACGATTATTAGTTACATTGAATATTAAAACAAGGAGTTTTCTATCCGTCTTACTCTTCTTACAATATCGATTAGTCGACGACTGCTCATTAAAAATCCATCTTGTCGCCCCGTCATTGAAAATCTTTTTAGATATTTATCCACTTTAGTGTAGTCGTCTCACCCCCAGGGATTCAAGGAAAATCGGACTCACTCAATCTTCTGCCTCGGTGACATCAAAAGTAAAACACCTGTCAACCGGAGGACCGGGAAATTCGAACCCCAGACACCATCTTTCTCTTGCACTACAAACGGAACGATCATTGACATTTACCGATGTTGCCTACTGTCCATAAAGATCTTGAGATGTTTGTTCTTTTGTTTTGTTTTGATTTTTTGCAGAAGAGTTTAAATACAAAAATAGCTTGCTGAAGATTTCATATTAAGCGAGAGTACAGTAGAAAAACGCACAACGTGCTAGAGAGTTTATGAAAATCTGCATAAAAATCTCTCTCTCTCTATATATATATATATATATATATACAAACATAAATAACTAAAAAGATGCCTCCAGATAAATATAGGCCCCTCTTCCTCTTTAACAAAACCAGAGAAAGATAATAGTAAGAGAGTGGGTAGGTTGAGGAGAGGAATAGCTAGCTAGCTAGATAGATAGATAGATATCAGCAAAACTAGATAGATAGATAGATAGATAGATAGATAGATAGATAGATAGATAGATAGATAGATAGATAGATAGATATGAACAAAATAAATATAGGCCCCTCTTCCTCTTTAACAAAACCAGAGAAAGATAATAGTAAGAGAGTGGGTAGGTTGAGGAGAGGAATAGCTAGCTAGCTAGCTAGATAGATAGATAGATAGTTAGATAGATAGATATCAGCAAAACTAGATAGATAGATAGATAGATAGATAGATATCAGCAAAACTAGATAGATAGATAGATAGATATCAGCAAAACTAGATAGATAGATAGATATCAGCAAAACTAGATAGATAGATAGATAGATATGAACAAAACTAGATAGATTGATAGATATGAACAAAACTAGATAGATAGATAGATAGATATGAACAAAACTAGATAGATAGATAGATAGATAGATAGATAGATAGATAGATAGATAGATATGAACAAAACTAGATAGATAGATGGATATGAACAAAACTAGATAGATCGATAGATATGAACAAAACTAGATAGATAGATAGATAGATAGATAGATAGATAGATAGATATGAACAAAACTAGATAGATGGATATGAACAAAACTAGATAGATAGATAGATAGATAGATAGATAGATAGATAGATAGATAGATAGATAGATATGAACAAAACTAGAATAGATATGAACAAAGATAGATATAAAAACTAGGTAAATCTGGACATAGATCGATAGACAGCTAAGCTAGATAGATAAACAGACAAACAGAAATGGGCAGGGTAAGATATATACCAACAGTCTGTCCACACTGTTTATAACAACAAATGCTGTACACTAACTAAACAGTTCTCCATAATCATAGCTAATTTTAAACACATACACACACGCATATATATATATATATATATATATATATATATATATATATATATAGAGAGAGAGAGAGAGAGAGAGAGAGAGAGAGAGAGATTCATTCCTTTGATCCGAGGAAGAAGTACTTCGCTCAGGCATTCTGATCCTTTACCTTTTTCATCCAGTGGACGTCAATGTGATATATGATTTGGTTTCACAAGGAATGCACATCCCCGTACATGTATGAACCAAGATCAAAAATTTACCAATCCCCATGGCCACTGTCATGCTAGCGTTGGTATCTACCAACACTTCGTCTCTGGTGCAACGCAGAAGGTGCTGTCGTAAGTTGGGAATCCTGATGACAAAGTATCCTTCATTAATTTAGGAGGAAAAGAGAACAGATACTACACTTTGATCCTAGTGCGGCCGCCGGCTAAATAAGCGCTGATCCTACGACAGAATGCACACCAACTTTGATCCTAGAGAGAACAGCCATTGTTTTGAATAGTTATTATAGCTGAAGGCTTAGGGCCCTATCACGTGGAAAGACCTGTTCTCGTACGGTTACCGAAGTTAAGCAACGTCGAGCCTGGTTAGTAGCTAGATGGGTGACCGCTTTGGGAATACCAAGTTATGTAAGCTTAGATGTGGAGGTGGTGCAGTTGATAACAGCGCGGAATTGTAAATTGGAGAGCCGAGTTCGTTATATTTACTTACTCGCAAATACCCTTGGAAAATATTTCTAAGATGAGGTATTATCTCCTGTTATTTCCCCTCTCCAAGTTCTCCACTGCTTTAACCAGGTATTGAACTCACGCTCTTTGGGTCCTGTCACTGGATCTAACCAACACCTTTATCCACTGTGCCATGTCTCCTTGAGGACAAATACTGTGCCATATATCCTCAAGGACATTCCAACCACCTGTAGAAGGACGGAGCGTACAACAGCCGAAACGTTGTGATAAATATGGCAACAAAGATGAGGACAATAGTCCGAATAATGTAAATAGTGTACCCTTGGAAAAGTAATGAATCAACCTATTCTCTCCACTTAGCTATAGGTTAATAAGTAAGATTTGTTTCTGTAAACATTTTTATCTAAACAAAATCCTACAATCTAAAAATATTCTATGGCTTTAATTAACCTGCAAAATGTTGGTAAGTCGTAAAAAAACAAATCAGATTGTCAATATTATGGCATTTTACTCTACGGTAAGAGCCTTACAGTCATTTATAAAACAGTGTTTACGAAGCATTACATATGCAGATATTTAATTATGCCTATACTTAGATGAAATTCGGCGTACCCCCCACTTTTTAAAGCTTTGAAACACATACCTACGGCTGAATAATGTTAAGAATTGACCAATTCCATTGGTATTGCTGCAGACATCTGAGTGTTCCCACAAATGCTCTTTTATAATTCTGTGGGAAGATGCTGTCTGGAAAATGGATCTCCAAGAATTAGTTTTATATTAACTTATCTCTGAACACGAATGACCAGACCTTGTATTTATTTGTCTCTATACAGCTTGATTCTGCACATTTCAGTGCAAGGAAGAGATGTTACCCCGAGATTGGAATTTCCAAGGGCGAGGTATATCAGCTTTTTGACAGATTGAGCGAAGATTCGAAAAATATACCAGGCTCGTCCTTGTGGTCTTAGCCACACAGAAAGCGCCAGCTCCCGTGTGATTACTAAAGTTAAGAAGCGTTGTATGTAGTCAATATATATATATATATATTTTAGATAGGTGCTTATTTTCTTAGGAATACCAGGTACTTTAAGCAGCGTTTGTTCTCATGTGTTTCTCAACAAAGCGGAGTAAACAAACAGAACAACAAAGGCGGTTCGAACAACAAAAGGTAAGATGGAGGCAAAAGTGTTCGGAGAGAGGTATTCTTTAGTTTGGATGAAAAAATAATGTTCATCTGTATAATGAATAACGCCTGTAATGAGAAACTCTTTCACTTTCGTTTTTTTTTCTTTTTTTTTTTTCTTTACTTTTTTTTCATCTTTTCTTTCGTCTGTCGCTCCAGATCATAAAACAGATATGTCTTCGAAGGAAAAGACTCGTCCTTTTATTATTCTGTACTTTTGTCCGACTATCGGTGGGTCACGCCTTTCTTCATTGTTTTCTTTTTATGTCTTGGTTTGTTCAAAACACCTGCCGATCCAAACCAACCTACACATGGCTTGGATAAGATTACATATTTCTTCTTCTTCTTCTTCTTCTTCTTCTTCTTCTTCTTCTTCTTCCTCTTCTTCTTCTTCTTCTTCTTTATTTCTTTCTTTTCTTCTTTTCAATTCTTTATTTCTTTCTTTCCCTTCTTCATTCTTTTTTTTTTATCCATTCTTCCTTTCACTTCTTGATTTCACTTATTTCTTTATTTCTTTCTTCCTTTCTTTTCTTCGACCTTTCGCTTTAATTTGTCCCCTATTTTTCTACACCTACGTCCCACTTTAATTCATCTTGCTACCATGTCTTCTGTTACTATACTTTTTTCACCTTCTTGCCCTTGGGAGGTTAAGGCGCGAACGCACTGATGGTTGATGGTGAGAGATTCAGTTTTATTTACCTCAATGTCGACGTCAGTGCAAACGAAACGATGTAAGAAATTGCTTCCCTTTCTTAAGCCACCTTCTCTCTCTTTCTCATTCACCCTTTTCACACACACTCTCTCTCTCCCTCTTCCTCTTCTCTTTCTCCCTCTTCCTATTCTCTTTTCTCTCTATCCCTCCCTCTAATATTTTATCTTATTCTTTTGTAACCACTCACATCTTCATTCACCTGATGTTGTTATCAATCTACGAAGGCGGATGAATAAGTCTGCTGCGTGAAAGGCGCGGTTATAGCAAACGTGAGTGGAAACGCTTCATTTAGTAAGAAAAGACAATTAAATTAAAATATTATAGCCCAAGAGGTTGTTGAGTAGAATTTTGATCTGAAATTTTCATTGTATAATAATCTGATATTGATTTACTTACGGATACAAATGACTCTAAGTTTTCTCTTTTCCATTCATTCTTTCTTTAATATCGTTTCTAGCATTCGGCTCTCCCTTTTTCTTTCTTTAATCTCTCTCTCTCTCTCTCTCTCTCTCTCTCTCTCTCTCTCTCTCTCTCTCTCTCTCTATCTATCTATCTATCTATCTCTCTCTCTCTCTATATATATATATATATCCTCCCTTTAGGTAGTTACATAATAGATAATTGGGGTCATTGTATTATATACACGCACACACGCCCCTTCCTTATGTCGTTATGTAATAGTTAATGGACACTACTGAATTACAAGCACACCTAACCGTTCCTAATGTAGCTACGTGATAGATAATGGACACTATTGTAGACACACATACACCGTCCTAACGTAGTTATGTAACAGATGATAAACACTTTTATATTACAAATATACATGCCTCTTCTTTATGTATTTATGTAATAAATAATGAACACCATTGTATTACGGGCACATACACACCTCTTTTTTATGTAGTTATGTAACATATAATGGACTCTGTTGTATAACAGCACACATACCACTTCCTTATGTAATAATATAATACATAATGGATACCTGTTCTATTGCAGACACACACACACACACCTCTTTCTTATGCAGTTATGTAATAGAAAATGGACACTGTTGTATAACAGGCACATATGCCCCCTTTCTTATTGTTGTGGCCTGTTAGGGGCCAGAAAGATACGGAAATAAAAAGGTAGGTTGAACAAGTGTATTGAAATAACAGATATATACAGAGTAAGAGTGTTAATAGCCAGCAGAGAGAAGAAGTATGTCCGTGCAAACTGTCAGGTTACACTGCGTCTCGACGATATTTAACAGTCCCCCGCCACGAGGAACATATGTGGCACAAGGCCGAGTTTAACGTGGGTTTCTCAGCCAAAAATATTCCCTTAGAACCCGCATAAGCGGGTTCGGGATCTGTCTGCCTCCCGGGATGAAACTCTGCCCTTCGGCATAGCTTCGTCCGGGTTCCTCTCTGTCAAAACAGAGAGTTCGACAGAAGTCGCACACAGTCAAAGACTGCGTCTCGACCTGTAAGAAGTCTCACAGGTTGGTCTTTATGAAAGGAGGAAGAGTTCATTCCCATGTAGGTAGGTCACCATAACACTTATTTACTTATATAATAGATAATGAACACTATTCTATTTGAGGTGCACATGTCCCTTCTTTATGTAGTCGTTTATTAGATATTGTACGTCAGTGTTACAAGCTGATATACCTCTTCCCAATGCAATTGTCATTATGATTTTGTCCTTTTATACTATTGTTCCCCACCCCATTCAAGGCACAATTTTGCTGTATGCGCGTATAGGGTGAAGCGGGAAGTTCATATTATGAGGATATGTAGGTTAGCTAACGGTTATTCGAAGACATAAAGAGGCTAAGATTATACTGGTTGAGAAGCATTGTCTCGGAAGTCCGTTCCATAGTTCTGGTAACGAAGCAGTCTGAGTGGAACTTCTTCCTTACTATTGGAATATGATGGGAATGTCGAGTCAGTGTACGTGGCCTTGCAGGTCCTAGATGTTCGGTAGCTCCCCCGACTCCCATTGCACTAAAGAGGGCAATTTTTGTTCCTGGCCCGAGTGTACGCGCTCGGGTTCCTCACTGTGAAGTTCTGGTCTGATGGAACTGTATATTGCGTAACAGTAATTTGTACCATTGTATTATATTTACATCGGCACCTTCCTTATGTTAGATATGGCGCAACATTGTCTTTCAAACACATGTACCTTTTTTATTTCGTTATATGATAGCTAATTAGTCCAGATTTATCGCAGATGTTTGCAATCTACACAATTTTTCTAATAAGTAATTGATAACTCATATTTTGTTTTGTTTTATGCGAGATTAACTTAAAGAATATTTAAGCAAGAAATATTTAATCTGTTTAACATGTGGGGTTATTTATAAACCAAAATTTCGTGATTAATGTACTCAGTATGATGATGGCTGCAACTTGAATATCAACATATCAATCGGAGATACTCAAATCAATCAAATAAAAAAATTAAAACATCTGGTAATTGTTCTAACAGAGGACGAAATATGTGACACTGAGATCCAAAGATGCATTGGGATAGCCAAAGATGCTTTCCAAAGGCTAAGCAGAATATTAAGAGACAGAAAAAACAAAGAAAAGAGTACTGAATTGTTACGTGCTGTCTGTCCTCTTATATGACAATGAATACTGGACAACCTCCTCAAAGATGAGAAAGTTGCAACAGAAATGTGGTTGTACAGAAAAATGGACCGAACATGTAAGCAGCGTCGAGGTTTTAGAGAAAATGGAAACAAAAAGAAAACTTATACATAACATCAGGAAGAAGCAGTTTAAATTTCTGGGACACGTAATGAGGAAGGAGGGCTTGGAAAATCTGATACTCACAGGACAGATTGAGGGCAAGAGGAACAGAAGAAAAAAGCACATAGCATACTTGATGTGGTCAAGTAAATGGATGGCGGAACAGGTTTCAGGAGAAATAACGAAAAGACAAAATTTATTAAGTGCTACAAAGGACAGTAAATTGTGGAGAGCCATGATCGCCTACGTTCTAATGGAACACGGCACATAAAGATGGCGTGTCTTACATTCCCTCCGCA